AATCAACCGCTTTTGAGGATGGGACGTTAGATCGTCAAACATTTCATTTTTGTCATCATAAGTGTAATTCTTTGGAAACATGTAAACACATACTATTGTATAATTTTTTCAATTATATTTATGATGGTTGTATTTACTTTGGGCACTATCATACTCGTTGTTGTGATACTATACATGAAGTCCTCCACCCCCGGACGTTTCCGCCATCCTTGGTTTGGGGGTGTGACAGTTTATCTAGCCAAGGAATGCAGCTGGTATCTTCTTCACGGAAGCTTGTGGAAGGAGCTGGAGATGTTTTGTGCAACGGGCCGATTGTAAAAATCGGAACTTGGTAGTGATGGCGAATCTGGGTCAGTGTTGATTGTTCAAGACATTCGAGGGTGTTACAAATGAAAGCAGAAGGGGGTATTTTGGGGCTGATCATTGCGATCAAATCAAGGACTTCTTGTATTGGAAGGCCAATAAAGGGTAGATCTTTGTATCTGAATGGATGGAACTCTGGAATCATTTCCTGCAAAAAAGAATCTTTAAAGCATAATTTTAGTACTTAGATTGTTTGTTTATGTGGGTTTTGGATTGCCGATTACCTCGTATAGGAAATCGACCTTCTTGATGGAGCTGAGGGATGATCCAGTAACTAGGAAGGAAGGCTGCACAGCTGTTGCGCAAGATGATGGAGGGTAGACCCAGATCGTCGGCGAGGTTTCCGGCAAAAAACATGAGGCTATCATAGATGATAACGATTGATTCTTTTTCAGATGTTTCCTTTTGTGTATTTATCATCTGAATCAGGTGTTTCTCGAGATGGGGTCTGCAGTTTTCATTAAAGAGAGAAGGTTACAACTGAATTGACGAAATTACCCCTGCAATATAAAATAAAAAAATGAGTTAACGGTGAAATGCTAACGGAGTGAGCCGGAAGGACCAAATGTTAAAAGTTTTGAAACCATAGGGACCATCTGTGAGGTTTTTTGAACTTAGGGATTAAACTTGATATTTTGGAAAACCACAGGGACCATTTTTGAAGTTTTGTCATTAATAAATATAGGGTAAATTACACCATTGGTCCCTCGTGCACATGCCAGAAAGCATGTTTAGTCCCTATTTTCAAAAATTAACTCGGACCGTCCCTTGGTTTGTTTTTTCTTGCATTTTTAGTCCCTATTGATATGAAATGACGATTTTACCCTTAATAATTTCATTTTTCATTTTATTTTATTCATTTATCAGTTTTAGATTATAAAAAATAAAAAAATCAAATATCCCCACCCCTCCCCTCCCATTCTCTTTCCATTTTCCTTCTACCGTTCCTAGAAATCAACACCACCAGAACCACTGTCTACCACCACCGAATACCACCGGAAACTGCCCGTCCTCCTCCTTTCTCCGGCGAAACTAACTAGCCAAAAATCTTTTGTTTTCCCCTCTTTCATATCACCATCGTTAATCTCAAATACCCTCCAGAAACCACAAACAATTACAGTTAATATCCACCACCTCCAATTATCGTCAATCTCCACCATTTATAAACCATACCTGACTGTCCAACATCAAATATTCAACCCAAAACCTGCCTTCTAATCTGAAAAGCAAACCCCTCATGAATCTCGAACCGATTCAGATCTACATTTAGATCTGAAACTCAAACCCAAATCGGAAATTCGAACATCAGAAACCACATCCTCTCCCTCTCTACATTTAGGTCTGAAACTCAAACCCAGATCTACATTTAGGGTTTCATACGGCGATGTTAGGGTTTCTACACAAATCTATGGGTGCGGGCGGCTCACAACAAGTGATGGTGAAGAAAGCTCCAAGAAGATATGCACATGCGCACCAAACCCTAGCCGCCTCTCATTTTTTCCAATGAGAGGGTAGCATATCTTCACTCTGGTTTGAGTGTAATAGATTTTCACTCCTCCCTAACCTTCTCCTTACCGTTTAGATCGACACTTCTGTTTGGATCCTTCGTCGGAGGAAACGCAGGAAGCAAAACAAGTTCTTGAAAAGCTTGAGAAGATTAAACTGGAGCTTAGTCAGACTTCTGTTGATGTTGCTGTAGAGGTCACCGAAGCTTTACAAAAAGTGAATGAAAGATTGATTGAGGTGGTGGTTGGTGGTTATTTTCAATGGAAAAGATGAGCTTTGAACCGGGGAGTGGGTGGGGTAAGTTGAGGGGTGGCAGCGGTGCTCCATTTTCCGGCGATGGCATAGATTACCGGTGGTGGTGGTGGGGATTATCGATGGTGGTGGTGGTCAAGTATTCTTCAGAAACATAGAAAAATAATTATAATACTTTTTAATAATTAAAAATAATTGAAATTGATAAAAATAAATG